GATAGTTATCAAGTGGTATTACAACATCCGAAAATTGCCACCAATTTGTGGAAATTTTCGGATATCGCCGTTAGGCCACAACTGCACTTGATAAATATTCGAAAAAAGTCTGTAACTGAGACAATAATAAAACTCTAATCATAAATATCTCGTGAACTATCGAGTTCTACTGAGCCCTTATAACGATATATTTTCTTAAACCGGACGACTAAATCTACAAACCCGTACAGTTTCGACTAAATTTATGACCCGAAGGACTCGCACTCTGCTTGTTAGTTTGGACACGAAAGTACAGAGTAATCGGTAATTTTTGATACCCCGAATAATCGATGTACGAAAGTTTCAGCGCCCCCTAGCTAGCCAGAGGCATCGTTAAAGTAGACGATCTCGAATTCGCTGACCCAATTCACAAATTCCTATGGTATCTGGCAGCGAGTCGATTTAATCGATCATAGCGGATGGGAGAAAAATAGTGGGTCTCCCAGGGCGACGTATAATCGGTCGTGCGAGTATGTCCGTTCCGCCGTAATCGCCTGTACATCCTGCAGGTGTCGCGTTTCGTTGTAAAACGGGGAAGCAACATTTCGCGTGGACTGGAGCGAAGACGATACCTGGTCGGCGACGTGGACGCGTTGGCCGTGCTGGCACTAATTGCGCCAGCGAATAATTGCTCGATAAACATCCTGTTAATCTCACTTTTACGTCCGTACACATTGTACCGCGCTGGTGCCGGTGTAGCACGCGAGGGCCTCGTTTTCCCTCTCTGTCCGTCGCACGCGAAACACGACAATTTTCATTCGCGCATACACGCCGTGTATCCGGTGCGCCGTCGTATTTTTCGATGTCCGTTGCGACAATTACCTGGTACGAGCGTAATTAAAGCAACGCGAGTCTCCGGCGTGCGCGTATAGTCTGCCCGGCGAATTCGCGGAAACCATCTCTGTCGCTCATCTACCCCTCGCCTCTGCGAAAGAGCGCGTAACGCGCGTATCCTTCGCTGCCACCCCGTATCTCTCCTATCTCCCTTGCATCGGTTATGGCGTACCGACGTCGAATTTTCGAGGAAGCTCGCACAGCCACGGCAACGATAAAGCTCTCGATCAAAGATACCGCACGCTCTTGACAGTTTCGACGCTGCCGTCCCAAGTCGAAACTTGTCTCGCGAGAAGAAGAATAAAGTTTATGGAAAATGCGCGCCGCGCGGACAACCGAGATATACGGTGTTTGTTCGAAAGTCCAGAGAAAGATGCCTGGAATGATATTCGAGGAGGGGAAAAGACGGGCGAAACTCGAGGCATCTCGCGAGGGACGCAGGGAGCGAGGTGGTGGAAAAGTCAAAGGAACGCTGTCACCGTGGAGCGAAAGAAGTACCGCGAGTTGGGGTACTCGTGGAGAGAGGGAGATAGCAGAGGCTCTTCGTTTTTCATCGAATTAAACCGATGGTCGATCAGAGATCAGGGAAAAGGGGCAAAGGGTGGAGGGATGTCTTTTGACGTGGAGCTAGAGGTCGGCGATTTTCGCGTCGGGAGAGCGTGGTTTCGATCGGAATCGTAGGTCGCGGAAAACGTTGCTGCGAGTCCCCTTCGAGAGCATCGGCTCCTATTACCGGGCTGGGCAAAGTGAAACGTACAAAGCGGGGAACAGGCTCGCAAAGACGAGCAGCGAGCGCACGGACAAAGCTCGCGAGTACGTGCTGTGGGAGCAAGCGGTGGAAGAAGCGCGGAAAGAGCACTTTCGCGGGGAAAGAAGCCGAGGAGGAAGACAGCGACGAAGGATACGAAAGGAAACGAGAGGAGACGAAAGGAGACGACTGTTTCGCGATAGTTCTCGAGTTACTTCGAACTCTGTTCGGCAAGGGATACCAGAGAGGGGTTGTGAAAAAGTTGCAGCCCAACATCTCGGAAGTGTCTAAAAAAGAGAACTGCGTTGGTTGAGACCCGGTCTCTAAGTGTATCACATAGTAAATTTAGTTTTCCAACCTCCGTTTTATCCCCTCCCGCCCTTTGTCGCTCCCTTGCCCTCTCTCCCCCTATCTCTGCCGCGTCTCGCGACTCGAGCTGCAGTCTACGATGAAATTCCTCCACGAGCTGTTCCTGAGGGATCGTCGGCCATCTTTCCCAACATGGCGGACCAGCGCTGGATCCGTTCGAGCGAATCTGGCCGATCAAACGGAGGCTAAGAGCCACGCTTTCGTCCGAGTTAACTCGATCCACTGGCTCTCTACCATCCCACTTTCCTCTCCCTCTCTTTCTCTCTCTCCCCTCTCTGTCTCCTTTGCGTCTCTCCGCGTCCTTTCCCCTACTGCATCCCTCCGGTCTGTTCCTTCCGCACCACCCACGACCGTTCCAATCGATGAGCTCGCGACAACGGTCCTTTAGATACTTTTAGAAGCCCGCAGAGCGTCTCCCGTGGGGGTGCAGTCGGTTGATCGGGCCCCTCGCGAGATTCCCTCCAACCCTGCCAACCGATCCTCCAATTTTCCACCGATACCCCCCCTCTCTCTCTCTCTCTCCGTTCTAATTCCTTCCGCGTGCCTCGTCGAAATTTTCTCCACCACCTCTCGCAATCGAGACAACGGGCCCCGATCGTGCCCCCGAAACGCTCGGAGCTCGCGGCTCTTTCCAACTCGACGCACGTTACACCGGTGTGTGCCGATACGCGCGTTTTCCCGCAATCGAGACAGGGAAATTGCGTGTCTGCGCCGAGGAGAAAAATAAAGGAACGACGTTAACGAGATTCGAGGGAGATGAATCGGTGACAGGGAGGGGGTAGTATGCGTGGTACGTGTACGCGTCAGATTTGATCCGGAGAACCGGCGTGTGTGCGTGGTTGCGTGTGTGCGTGTCGACGCGGAGAAGCGCAACTTGCCGACGTGTATCGGGTGTAATCGGTTTCCTCGGGGAATCCCACCCTCTCCGTGGGTGCCGGCGAACCGGGGGGATAATTTGCGGCGTCTCGACGCGGCTGCGTGGTCCAATCCGCGATACCAGCCAATCGGCTCACGGCTGCGCGGACTCGAACGGAGAACAAAAGGATCTCTGCCGATAGAGAGAGAGGCGGCGGTGATCGCCATGCAGGGACCAGCAAAAACGCCAGCCACGTATATACGGAGCGCACCACGCCATCGATTACTTCCCCTACGGGTTGCAATAAAGCCTCTTCGAACTCCGACCCTCCGACTTTCAGCCCACCTCGCGGAATCTCTGCGTTTACCCACGCGAGATACGGCTTGATCTTTCGTCGGGTGCGTTTAGAAATTAATCCCTCGTTACCGACGCCCCTTTCTATTCCAATTATCCTACGCGATTCGAGTTTCGCGGGGTCCCTTGCGCGAGTGTGTGCGTGCGTTGCATGATTGCCAGGTGGCGTCTGGTGGAGAACCGAGCCAACAGTATGTCCCATGACTTGACCGAGTGTGCACATTTCGCATTTCGTTTCCCGTGCTGGATATCGAACAATACACGGCTAGTGTACTCCACTGGACACATACTTAATTACACAAATTTATCACTACGGTATAAATATAACTTTTAACCCCTTGCCTACTGTGGAAATTTTGCTTTTGTGACACGGAAGGCGCGTACAAGCGCTCAATACAGTTTGCTTCTCTGACACGGAGGACGCATCTCTACCCAAAATTTTCCCGTTCTCGGTGGACATTGTAAATGAATTCCTACGCGTGTGGTACGACCGGTGCGTTTCAAAGTCTGCCGTAGTCAAAGGGTTAACTCGCTCTGTACTACTACTGCTACCTTCGCTGCGCCCTTACCGATCTCTTTCCCCTCCCGAACGTACGCGTTACGAATAAATCGTCCAATTCTCGGCTCACTGTACCTCGATCGCGTCGAAATCTAACGATTCCAACTGCGAGCGCAAAGTCCTAAACTTCCCTATTCCTTTTCCCGCTTTGCACGCCTATCGAGGTGTACCTGAGAGCGATTAGCTCGGCGAGGTTGCGTATAGGTTAAGTGTCGAGGGGAGGTTGGATCGCGGAGAGACTTAAACGAAAATTGGCGGGGTTTCAGGCGGCAAGGAGGACGATCCAAAAAGTTCCTCGTCCAGCACGCTGAGCTCGACGCAGAGCAAGAAGCAACGAAAGGCGCGCACGGCTTTCACGGATCAGCAGCTGCAGACCCTCGAGAAGAGTTTCGAGCATCAGAAGTATCTGAGCGTGCAGGACAGGCTGGAGCTGGCTACGAAGTTGAAACTGACCGACACCCAAGTGAAGACGTGGTACCAGAACAGAAGGTAGGATTAAAGCTCGCGAAAATTTCTCGTCCCTTCGACGGATAACGTTAGGTGGCGTTAGTAACGCGCTTCTTCCTCTGTCTATCGGACGGAAAGAGCTAGAGAGAGCGTCGCGGTAGGTCGTCAACGCGTTAACTGCCACGGTGGTCATCCGTGACAGGCGCATGGTGATCCCAGTATTTATTTACGTTGTTCAGATTCTCAAGAAATGGTTAGAATAAAAGAGATATAAATTCAAAAAATGACTATCACCGGATACTGGTGCTTACCATGGTCCCACCGAGGAGACGAGCACCGGTTACTGATGACCACCATGACAGTCTACGCGTTAAAGATGCAACGACATGCAGGAATCTAGATCGTTTAACCCTTTCACTGAGAAATCACGCGTTTTCCTCGGGACGCTACGGGAGTGCATCGCTAGATGCAAGATTTGCTCTGATATTTTTCGGATTCGTGTTCTAATAAGAATTTTTAATCGTTCGATAGAGCACTCCTAATTAGCGGTTATATTCGCAATGCCTCAACTGTCAATTTTCGTTACATTTTTACAATTGTAAACAGTTACCAACGACCACCGTGGTGTCACGAGGGAAACCGTGGCTGGTTACATAGGACGAACGTGGCAGTCAAAACGCTAACGATAAATCGTTTCGGGTAACAGTGCTCCGTTAGACGAGACTCGGTTTTATCGGAGTACAAAGAGGAAAAAGAGCGCGTGGGGTAGAAGGAAGGCGAGGTTATTGTTCGAACCGTTTAATAAACGGGCAAGACGCCGCTGTCGCGCAACAAAGGAAGGCGCGAATCACGACCGCCGGTTGTTGGATATGTGGTAAATGAAAAAGCTATAGGGACAATGGGGAATCGAGTTTATAAACGGCCGGTGGGACGAGGTAAGAAACGGGCGAAGAAGTCGATCGATCGGGCCCGATCGACACTTTCGTTGCTCTGTGCATGTCAATCGGAGGATGCTCCTGATCGAGGTAGCTCGGAACGAGTAGCGTAGCGGCGAGGCCTTTCGTGACAGCCCGTATCGAATCCGTAAATGGAAATCGCGGCGGCCAACAAAGGCGCTGTTTACGTGGTTAAACGCAAGGATCACCGGCCGTACGGACGTTGCTGCATCGACGTTTCGAAAGTCATGTAGCTCTTCTGCCGGCTTCGCAAATGTCGGTAATCGTGGCAGCGTGAACGATCCTTTAAAAAACTGCGACCCTCGAGAACCGGTGCTTTTTGCCGTGAAAGAGTGATACATTTGAGGTACTTCGTAAGCGAGGAATTCGAAGGTGAATTACAGCTGAGCGTTGCAAATTGGACGGTATTCGTTCCGTAATTCCAGTTCGTATTTAGAGAAATCGTACAGCCAACACGAAAACTGAAAATTCGCGAATTTTCTCTTTTTTAATCCTTTAATCTCGAAAATTCAAAATTCCACGATATTTACATCTGCCTGTAATTACGAATCTATAGACACGAAAATGGAAGACACTTGTCTTTTCGTTGATTGGAAGCAAAATTTGCGAGGGAGATTTTTGGTATCGCTAATGAAAGAGGAATTGGATCAACCGGGTTAGACTGGATTTTAGAATCTATAGCGGCATCCTTTGTATCGGAACGAGGTTTCTACCGAGTCATTCAGTGGCGCCTGCAATTTCGTCTTGTCGATACTGTGCAGTCCTATCTTTCCTCGATCACCACGCTCGTTAGTCACGAGGATCCGGTATTTAAGATCGAGCGAGGAAAATTAAATTCGTGGGCTTCGTATTGTCTTTCGGAAGTGCCTCGCCACGCCGCGTTATTTTTCAATCGGGCCTAAAGGGGGCGTTGGAAAATATTTCCGTGCCAGGGCGAACCGTTCCGTTCGAGCTTCTCCTCTAACCGAACATCGTGGATTTTCGAACGACCTTCTATCCACGGACGGAAGAAGAATTTCTAATCAAAGCAAATTCTATCACGCTCGAGGCTGCTTGCATTTTAATACCAAGACATTGAAACCTCCATTAAACGCCCGCTCTTTTTGTCTTCCAGTCGTTCAAAGACCACCGAATTCATAGAAAATGTGAATCTCAAAGCGCCGCGCGGAGTTTAACGTACAAAGGAATATTCAAAAAGGCGCGAGGACACGGTGCACGGAGAAATCAGTTCCTCGAACGTTTAAGGGTTGAAACGCGTTGGTCGTTGGAACACGTTTCATTTTCCACGAAGAAATTTCGTTCCAGCGTCCCTCTCTCTCTTTCTCTGTCCTCGAAATGGCTTCACGCCAATTTTCACCCCGTCGTTAGTTGCCGGTGGTGCGCTGTTCCCGTGCGGTGATTAGCCTCGAAACACCCACAACTCGTGACTGCGCGACTTCTGTGGCCGTTTAGTTTGGACAAGCGGCCGATCGAGCTCAAAGAAAGCGAATCGTTAATGAGAATCTCCGAAGCTCGTGATGCGCCACGTATAGCGGCGAACAAAAAGAGAGGGACAAGGGGGCAAACCTTAGACTCTAAACCGTGCCATTAGACTGTCAATTACGAGGCGACCGAACGCCGTAATGACAGACGTTCGCGCTGTCAGCCATTGCATCGGTCGAGCCGTATTTCGGTGGTCATTCGGTTCCTCGTATCTAATTGCGAGCAGGCTCGAATCGTTTCCCATCTCGTGGCCAAACTCGCCGCGTATTACGCTTCTATCCGACGAGCCGCTAATTTGCCCACGAATCGCTACCACTCGCGTGGTCTAATGTCTCGCGTGCAAAGATCTCGTGCGATCGCGCGCGCGCGGGAGAGCGATACAGAGTTGCCGGCGAACGATCGATAGAGGGTTAATTAACGGCGAAGAACTACGAGGATGGTACGCGTGCCATGATTATCGTCGGTTCGAACGAAAGAGCGAAAGGCTGCTAAGAAGGCGCAAAAAGCCGGGAAAATTAGTGACGCTTCTGTCAGCCGGCTTCTTAAGTGCCCGCTTAAACTTTTGTTGCTCCGTGTACGCTGCCAGAGTGACTCGGCGCCTTTTCGCGGAGGCGCCGACCACACCTCGGGCGCCACGACGACGGATTTCGTGTCCCTTTTTCTCGGCTAAACTATCACCTCGAAGAGGAGGGGTGTCGAGCGACTGCTCGGCCAGGCTACCGCGTCGGTCGCGCAGCCTCTTCCAGAAATCCCGAATGAGATCTCTCCGGAAATCGATAAACGGCGGTGAACGGTGAACGATTAAGACCATCGATGGTATTCGTCGTTCGATACGCGTGTATTGGCCAGCAGTGGATAACGAGAGCGCGAGGAAGGAGGAAACGACGATGGTAAACAAGCAGAGTTGGCCAAACGAAACGGGGGTCGTCGTAACGTATACTTGGCTCGGGCAGTGTTTACCCCGGTGTGGAATCTCTGGGGCAGGATAGGCGTTTAAAGCGGCGAGTTACGGTGATTTTCTCGGGGCGAACGTGTTTTCCGCGAAATCGATCGCGGGCCGGCGGGCTCCGGTGAAATTGCCTCGTCGAGTCCCCCGATAAGCGATACGCTTGCCACTTTTTCTTCCCCGCATGCCGGGCATACGCAACGCGGAGTTGGTTATTTAGAAGTCATTAGGACTCGTTACGTTACTCACCGCGCCGCGGTCCCTACTTATCGGCTAATTACGTACACGGCCATACGCGAGTCGGGCGCATCGGTGGATCCCATAAGTGGCGTGCACACACGCCGGCCGATCGTTCGCGCTTTCGGTCTTTAGCGTCCCCGCGGCACACTTGCCACCGCGCCGAGCACGTTCGGAAACTGCATTCTAATGAAACGCCACGAGACGCGCTCGCTCGCTGGCTCGCTCGTTTATGTAATTCGCGACGCGCATCGAGATTTATGCATTCGGACACGTAGATTTATGTATCCGCGTTGGATTTATGCGGTCGTGCGTGGATTTATCGCCGCCGAGCCGCCGCGGAAGCCCTACCACCTTTAATTAGTTCGAATCGCCAGCCTTAACCCTACGCTCCAGGAGTCTATCCTTTTCGGCCTCGAAAAGTCTTCAACGAAGTCCCTGGTCTCCCGGGATTAGCCGCGATCCAATAATCGTTTCGAGATCGAGCCACGTTCCTACCGCGTACCGAGCATCGGCACGGGTATTTCGTAAACGGAGGTTCCGTGCTCGGGCAGAAATTGCCCGATGACGCGGAGTAAAAGAGGGTGCACGGTATAACGATTTCGAACAAACGTAAGCCGAGCTGGAAAGCAGCATCGAGCTACCGCATAATACTCTAGAATTACGAGTCACGTCCCGAGGGCAGGATTCTCTCGCACGCACACTCTCGCTGTCGAATCTTCTGCCCGAGCCGATCTTTCGTTCTTTCGGCTCGGCCCGTGAACGCGTACGACCAACATTCGAGTCGCGTTATGCGCCGGTCAGCGAAATTACACCGATATACTTCAGGGCACTCGCCACGAAAACACACGATTTCGACGATGTCGACGACGACCGGCCGTGTATAGACCCGTGCTGCGGGTCACCTTCGCGACGGCACGAATCACCGATCGAGATTCTAACGCGTCGCTATAGCCTCGAGGCTGTGCACGTGATACTCGCGAGGGACAGCGTAATGGCAGTTAATGGCACTTCGAAAAGTAAAATTGGGAAGGAAAATTGGAAAGGCGAGCAAGTGAAAAGGCGACGGACGCGCAGGATTGTCCCGGGGACCGGAGGGGGGTGAGAATCCTTCACACGGTTTTGCGCTCGTTATATACCATCAACGCTAAACACCGTCGACCATGAACACGCTATAATATTTTACTACATGGCTATCTAGAAGTAATACCTCATACACGCATTGGATAAGAAGCAAGAGTGATACGCGTGTAACGGGCCTCGGGATAGAGATGCCGCGGCGATAATAAGATACCGATAAGTCAAGGGGAAATTAAAAATTACCCTGGAACACGCTACGCGTCCACGTAATCCTAGAGTCGATTCTACGCTTAAGCGACTAATTACGACGTGTTTATTCGCTTACCTTTCGGGCGGAAGCTCTATCGGCGATCTCTCGGCGAAAAATCGACGCCGAACGGAGACGCCGTGGCCCCGAGTCGCACAGGTTAGACGAAAACACCGAGTCACGCACTTGAAAACATTACGCTAACGAAGCACAATGGCCATTAAAGCGAAACGTAACGGCACGGGATTTTACGACGCGTAGAAATAATAACGCGACGATGCTAATGCCAGGCCGGATAAGCTGAGACTAAACGACTTCGAACGCGAGCCAAGGACTCGGACACGGGTCGAATCGAAATTCCTTTTCCACTCGACAGCACGCCGTGAGTCGAGCACGGCTTTGTTTACCATCTCGCGCCTCGTTCGTCGCCTTGTCCCTCGATACCTGATGGTGCTCCCGACCTACGCGAGACCGTTGGACGAATTCACGTTGCACGAAGGAACGAGGATACAAAGGACAACGCGAACCGGGGGGAGAAAGTTGCGGCAGATATAGCAATTACCTAAAGCGTCGGATCGAGGCGCTGTTAAACGCGAAACAGGCTCACCCGAGGCGATCTGTTAATTAGAGACGCGCGCAAAACATTTCCATTGAAACGGTAAATTAGGTGTAAATTTTACCGCGGGATCGGGGTAAGAAGCGCGAGGAGAAATGCAAGGAAGAAACAGCGTTTTTCTCATTTTTTTCCCCCCTCTTTCTCTCTCTCTCTCTCTCTCTCTTTCTCTCTCTCCTTTTCCCGCTTGGAACGCGCGGCGCCGTAACAGCATGGCGACATCGCTAACGCGTCGTGATACATCGCAATCGTGAGAATCCGGCTCCGTTGTTTCTTGAGGCTTCTCGACACCAGCCGGAAGAACACGCGAGCTTCCCACGCCTCTAGTAAACCGCTTTATAACGGATCGTCTTGATTTCTCGGCTAGTCAAATGCACTCGTTTCCTCGGCGAAAGATCGCCGGGGAAACCAAGCCGTCGTCCACGGTCGGCGTGATGGAGGAAAAATTCGTGTCACGAAACCGCGCTGCACCCGCGTGATTTCGTGTACGATTTCAAGTACACGAGACGCTGGAGGAATTTCGCGAAATAGGTAGAAAAACGAGGCTAACCGGCCGGCAGCCGATAACCGGGGGGTGTGCGCGGTCTAACGATATATTTGCATGCGCATTTGTCGGCCTATATGCGCCTCTAATGTTCCAGCCAAGTTTTCCATCTAAAAATACCAAGTAGCACGCGGCAATTTCGCCCGAGAAAGCGTGGCTCGTACAATTCCGTCGTCGTTTTCTCGGCTCGTTACCGGACCTACCCTTTAGTAGACGCTCGTCTTTTTCCGAAACCGGGGTACGCCATGCCGCTGCCGAGGGTCGAACGCGATTTCGTGAGGCCGTTGATTGGACGTCGTAACGTAAACGCGGTTCGTAATGGCCAACGTTGATTCCTGAGAGACTCTGTCTCCTTTATCCCATTGTACGCTCGTACGTGGATGAAAATTGATACGTGTATTACAGCCGTCTATCCGGGGGAACATGTGTTCCGTAGCCAGTCGAGCAAATAATAATTCGAAAATATGTCGCCCTATTCTACGCTCCTTTCTCTGTCTGTCGCCATTATTATCGCAAACCGAGCCGACAGCTTGGTTGCATTAGTGTCGCGAGGACTCGTAACCGCAAAACCACCGACCAGTCCCAAACACCATTATAAATGCATTAACTCTCTCCCTCGGCTTTATCCTCCCCCTTTTAACCGTGCGTCGTTCGCGTAATTCTTTATTGTCTCGCCTTATCGTCGTAGACTCCGAGTCCGTGGGTCAGTGAGTCGCGCGTTATCGCGCACAGACGAGTATATCGCGGAATTTCCTGTCGATTCCGTCAATTTTCACGATTTCCACGATTTCGTCGAGGAGGAGAGAGAAAGAGAGAGAGAGAGAGAGAGGGAGATATGGAAGGAACGTTTCCCAGAGTCATCGAAGGAACGGTTCCCTTTCCACCTTGCCCGGCCTCGTCTCGTCTCGAAGAGTCGACGATCATTAAGCTCCGATGGAAGCGATCGTTACACTTTTCTTAACACTTCCCCCGGACCTCTTTCCCCCGTTTACCCTTGGCTTTATTCGGAGCAAGAGCGAGGCAGCCAGCTCTCTCGGGAACCTTTCGGCAACGATAAATCAATGACTCTTGCTCTTTCCGCAGCTACTTCCGACCCTCGCTCCGTCTCGCTCGCTCCCGCGGTTATTCAATGCCGATACAAAGAGCCGGCACAGCAATTAAGGGTGTTTTAGAGTGGCTGCACTCGAAAATGACCGGCCACCCCTAGTGGGGGTATTAAAAAACATTACTCATCACATAATCGCACGAGTGGTTTTCATTGCAACTTGTCGTCTCCGTTCTTCTCCCCTGGTTCACCCTCTGTCCCTCTCTCTCTCTCTCTCTCGCTCCGTTTCTCACCCTGGCGTCTCTCTGCTCGGTTACACGATCCTTCTCTCTCTCTCTCTCTCTCTCTCTCTTTCTCCCTCGTTCTCTCCCGGTCGCTACCGATTCTCCCGTTCTCTCTCCCGCGTCTGTGCATCGGTGGTCTCCTTTTCGCCAGCGTGCCAGCGGAAAAATGAGAAATGATCGTGGCTCGATTCAGAGGGCCCTGTTTAAAATTCATGAACGATTTTACTGCTACCTCCCCTATCGTCGACCGTCACAAAAGGCCGAAAGCAGGGGCATATCGAGAGAGAGTGGCCCACATTTCGGAACGATGCACGCGCTGGCAGAGAAAGAGAGACAAGTCGGGAACGGGCGGGGTGGCAGAGGGAGGGAGGGAGGTATGCACCCCATGAAATATATTAATTGTCGAATTTTCCGTGCGAGCTGCATATCCGTTAGAGCCGCTTTGTCCCTTGCCAGCCACGGATCTCCTGATTATTAATTACCCTGACAACGAACTTGCTCCCTCCCCCGGCTCACCCCTTCTCGCCTATCCTCCCGTAAAATTCGCGGCCTCGTTTCGAAGGTACAACGTTTTTCCTCCGCACTTTTTTATATATCTTTTTTTTTTTTTATTTTTTTAATTTTTATCCCGCGCTGCCGGTTTTTATGGAAAAGCGTAACGAATGTCCCCGTGCACCGTGGGGAGGGGGGGGGGATGCTCGTTAATTATCGTCCCGAATTCCGCGGCGAGCGAATCGTCGGCTTTTAATCGAGAGCTGGGCAGCGGTCCACCGGGCTGATTTATCGTCGTAGATAATCGTGACGTTTGACGGTGCTGGTCGGCAGGCTCGGTTAGCCAAAATTTTATTGCCGATTTCGCCCGCCACTCGACGTTGTAAATTTTTCTAATTAGCCCGCGGTAATTACCACGAGAGGGTGAACCGATCGAACGCCGATTACCGGTGCGTGAATCCATATTAAACGGGGATCGATTACGCGTATAACTGCCGTTAATTATTAACGGGCGCGCGCGCACGCATCGTGGCCGGAGAAATTTATTTTTGCATCGAATTAAAAATCGTTTTGTCGACCGGCGTCCCGCTTTTTCGCCCGGCGCCAGCGTCCGCGATGCAGCGTCCGTCGTCTTCCTCGGCGTTTTCGCTTTTCCCCGGCGTCTAGGACGTGTCGCGACGCCTGACCGTCGCGGAACGCCACCGCATGCGTAATCGCCAGACAATGAAGTATAACATTACGTTCGCGGTAATAACAAACGAGCAAATACGCGGCAACTCGAGCGAGAGAGGTAAATCACCGCGTGTCGGCTCAGACGCGAGACTATAATTTTCCTCTCCGCTCTTTAATAATTACGCGCGATGCAACGAGTTGCGTAATTGGTCCAATTGGAACATTATTATCACCGCGCGAGCCTCGCGTACTTTTCGTTCTTTTCGTTTACCCCGCATTTCCATAATAACGCCGCTCTCTGAGACGGGGAAAGCGCGGCACGGAATCGCGCCCCCGCGCTCGCGTTTTTAACCTTCGTAGTCGGAAACATTTCCATATCGGTGAACGGGATCGAACGAATGCTACCCTTTTATTTCACAAACGATCGCAATTCTCCACGAGTCATCGCGCCGCTTCTCCGACTTACACGTACGTGGTACACGTATCGCGAGACCGTTCGTTGCTTTTTCACCCCCTGCGATAGTAATTCCTTCTCCAACCTGCCCGTGCACTTTGCCTTTATCCGACCGTCTCGTCCGTTTCCACGTGGTAACCGTCGAAAAGACACACACCGATACGTCTCCACGACCACGTCCGAGGGGTGCTGCTGCTTCGCCGCTCGCAGCCGCGGCGTAGGAACTCGCGCGCGAGCGCGCCCGCTTGGCATGATACGCGATGATTAGGCAGTGAAACTCCACGGGCTATTTGTTAGTATAATAAGCCCGCCAACAGTGTGGCCAACGTAACCACTTGGCTGCACGCCATCCCGTTTTAGCGTAATTGTCCCAGATCGAGATTTACATACGCGAACAGAGATTGGGAGGCGATCGAACGAACGGGGACCGGAGGGGGAGGGCGGGGGGGGGCTAGTGAGGGTTGAATTCGAAGAAATCGTAGAAAGCCACGAGGTACTTTTACTCGCCCCTCGAGCCTCGCTCGGGAGTTTCGCGCTTAGGGGAGGCAGTCTAGATCGCCTAAACGCTGACAACGGGTAGTAGCCTAATCGCGATGACCGTCGGACGGATCGCGAGACGTAACGAGGAATCGGAGGATTAAAACTTGCTTGCCCATTCTGTTTGCAGAACGAAGTGGAAGAGGCAGACGACCGTGACCTTCGAAATAATGGCGGAGAACCATTTCGCGGTTGCGGCGTTCCAGCAGCTGTACGGAAGGGGCGCGACAGCGGTGCCTGCGCATCCCGCGGCAGGACGATACTGGCCGTACCCTAGCGCACACGCGCTGCCAACCAACGGGCTGTTCTATCAGCAAGCATCGGCCGCTGTCACCCTGCAGAAACCCCTGCCCTACAGACTCTACCCGCCGACGATGGTGTTGGCAGGACCCAGCAACCCCCTCGGATCCCTCACGGCCAGTTCCAGCCTCTCGAATCTGAGCAACTATTACAGGGACAGTCCGGAGATGACGGACGGCAGAGACAGAGAGAACATGGAGAGATCGTTGAGGCAAAGGGACCGAAGCAAAAGTCCCGTGCTGAGCGACAGGTCGCCGATGATGAAAGAGGAAAGACTGTACGCGCCCACGATGGTTCAAGCGGGCTCGAGCAACAACCTTGGCACGCTCACGGCTAGTTCCAGCCTGTCGAACCTGAGCAACTACTACAGAGACAGTCCGGAAGCGGTGGACGAGCGAGAAAGGGAAAACATGAACAGAGCCTCGAGACAAAGGGACAGGAGCAAGAGTCCGGTGTTGAGGGAAAGGTCTCCTATGTGCAAGGACGACAGACTCTACCCGCCTACGATGCTCCAGGCTGGACCCAGCAACACCATCGGCTCGCTCACCGCCAATTCCGGCCTGTCGAATTTGGGCAGCTATTACAGGGATAGTCCGGACATGATCGAGGGTAGGGAACGGGAACATTTGAGCAGGCCGTCGAGGCAGAGGGACAGGAGCAGCAGCCGTTCGCCCAAGAGGGAGGACAGTCCTCAGAGTATACGGGCGGACAGCGACGACGAGAGCATACACGACATCTAGGACACAGACGAACCGAGGGAATCGTTGGAAGGAAGCTACGCGGAGATGGACAAAGATCGGTCGAGTTCTCTCGACGAGGACTACCATTGAGAACGATCTCGGACGAAGCTTCGAGCTTCGAGGCAAGTCGGAGAAGAATAGCCTCGATTTCCAGCACAGTCGCGATATCGCGAGGACACGGGGAAATGGGTGAGGATAGCGATCGAGAAATCGGACGTTTATCGGCGCGACGAAGAGTGATGGAGCCGGTGGAGGAAAACGGTGGTTTATAGCAGTTACTCCGAGCCTACTACGTTGCATAAGCGAAACGAACGCGTGTAAAAATGTCTCGTCGAGCGGGTGTGTCCACCGAGAGAGCCGCAGGATCGCCTGAATTCGACGCCGACGACGGGTATTACGCAAAACGGTCGATTTCGTGAGGTGGAACGCGGGAAGTGACATGGCACGGGACGTCCGGGATTTCCTAGATAATGAGAATGCGCAGAGGAAGCGTTATGTGGTTAACCAAAGTTTCGCGACTGGAACATTTAGCGAACCAACGGTACGCTGAAACAGTATTCATATTCGACGTAATCGTCATAATCGTTATACCGGTAGATCGGGAGCGAACGAGTGGTACGATACGACGAGCACTCGACAGATTTATCGTACGCTCGCGCGACCTGCCGATCGCGCCCGTGTGTGTATGCGTGTGTGTGTCTGTGTGTGCATGCGACGACGTAGAAGCCAAAAGGAGAGAGAGAGAGACGGTCGTTAATTGGTAGAAACGCGGTTGAACGACGCGAGGCGGCTACTTTTCGCGGTGTAAATAAAAACTGTTCACCTGTCTGGGAAAGGGGAAGGATAAAGAATAGGTTAGAGAGCCGGCTAGACCTACCATCGAGAACGGCTGGAGTCGCGCCAGGAAACGAGCCAATCGCGCACGAACGCGAATCTACAATTAATATGACATTAGAGGGGACCTGCCTGCGGGGGAAGAAATCCGAAATGACACGAAATTACACGCGGTCGGTGGACAAGGGGGAAAGAAGAGAAAGAAAAGGAGAAAAAGGTCGGAAAAGAAAAGACGCCGAAGAGTTTCGGTACGGCGCTGAGAATCCCGAGAGAGCCATTCGAATAATCGAGTAGCGTTCCTCTCGGGGTTCCTCGCGTGGCGAAACCGGCACTTTGCCTCGCCGGTCCGCTCGAGAAATCGCGGAAATCGGCTAATCGACATGGACGCGCGATTCCGCTGCGCGACGAGCTCGTGACTCGGGCAACAGATTCCCGTTGTAAATACGATTAAGATTCCCGATCCGCGCGACTCGCCGCGACGCCGATACGATTTCGCGCCGTTCGTCCAGCAACCGTTGTAAATAATTACGTTGGAGGATGAGGCGCGAGTCGGGGACAGGTCGCACGCGTCGAGATCGCGGCTACTTCTAGAGCGTAAGTCCAAGCCAACCAGGCCACGCGACAAGGTATCCCGAAGTATTTTTCAGATTCCAGTATACGTAGACGAACGCTCGGCACGTGTTTGAACCGTCGGAACGGGTTACTCGCGACGCCATTTCGATTCCACCGTCCGATTCGACGCGCGGATTCGCGTGGTTTCCACGAGTAAAGAGACGAGAGAGGTTCGACGGTGCAGACACGGTGCGCGGCGCGTTCAGCGAAGAAATACCAGTATTACGAATGCATAAAATTAGGCTGTACCGACGAAGAATACAGGTGTACGAGGTAAAGGAACACTTAGAAGAACGACGGCGTTGTTGTAAATCCGTCGAGGCGCGATCAGAGTCTCACGGTATCGTGTGACTTAACGTTAAGTAATGCAGCAAGAAGTACATAGTATAAATCATGCTTTGTAAAATAATGTCTGTATAGCGAGAATTATTATATGGAAAATATATTATACTAAATTTAACGCTCAGCCTCCTTTCTTCTCTTATTTCTATTAACGAACATCCTATCCTCTGCTGCCCGTAATAAGTTCGTTAGTATTCATAAGGTTATAGATGTTATCGGGGCGAGCAATGTAGCAAGAAACATTTTGATTGCTTGTCCGCGCGCGAACCACTCGTAACAGGCAGATTTAGCGAATTTCATTATTTCCACCATTATCTCGCGCGGCGCGGAGGCCGCGGGTATAAAACTTAATTGAATTCTCGAATTAGCACTTTCTTCTTACTTCGCGAAATTAACGACGAGCCGGAAGCGATCGTAGATTAAAATTGAAATTCACTCGGTCGTTAGTACGAAAACGAAAGGAAGAAGGTGTGTCGGCTCTATCTACCGTTTCTCCGCCAACTTGGTCGTTCGCCATCCAAGCCATCCCGTTTACCTATCGATCCCATTCTTCTTGGTCGTGTCACGGCGAATCGCGGGGCCAGATTGCCCTTTAAACGGGAAAACACCGCGGCCCTAGCAGCCGTTTTTCACGCGACGCTGCATATTTCAAGACGTTTACGATCGGGTTAATGCCTACGAGGAGAGATCGCGTCCACCTCCCGTTTGCTTATTTGCATTCCCATTTGCATACGCGCACTTACGTAAACCGCTTTGATCGCGTTTCGCGACTCACGGCTAAACGAGCAGGCGTCTCTCAGGTGCATCTCCGACAACGACGGCTCGATCAACGTCCCATCGCTCCATCGAGAAAGTCCTCGTGACGAGGTGGACTTTTCCCGCGCGGATGAAAATTACGGAAAAACGAATTATCAAGGGAGCCCGGCTCGCGCGATGAAGAGTTTCCGCGAGCGTAAAGGCAGAAACGGCTATTACGAGACTGCCTGTCTCGTCTCCATTACCGGGCGAATTTTCGGCGCTTCGTTCGTGGCACGGTGTGTAATTTGCCAGGGCCTTACGAGTGGTCGAAGGTAAAACCCGAGAAGCGTGACAGCGTGCTCGGGGCTTAATCGCGTTTGCTTATTTCCGGCGTTGGTCAGCCGACGCTGCAATTATGTAGGAGCGAGCTCGAGCGCTAACTGCTGCATAAGGGCTTATTTTATTCCTATTAGGGTAAAACGGGTAGCCAGCACGACGCGCATTCTCCTGTATCCCCAATTACGTGAAATTAATTTGGATCCCATTAGCGGTGGCCCACTGCTGCCAACGATTTTTCCCAACGGTCCCACTTCCCTCGTCGTCGTCGGCCCGATTCGTGTTCTAACCTCGAACCTGCACCTCGCGTAAACGTTCCTGGTTCCTTCTTCGGCTATTACGAGTTAATTCCTTCGTTAACGGCGATGGGGCAGGGTAAAGGGGGGAGGGGGGAGGGGGAAGTAGACGGTTCGATTCTCGCGGGAAGCGAAGAGCAATTACGCGAGTGTTCGGACGATCGTCGGTTCGGTCGGTGGTTTCTCAGACTCGGAGTTGACAGGAAGCGCACGGAAGAGGCGAGATTTCGCGACGATAGGGTGTTAACGATCTTACGGTGAAAGGATACGCCGGCAACGTGGTCGTTCGATGGACGAGGAAAGCGAAATATTTGTTCTTTTCCTCTCTCGCGATACTTTCTATGGAAGGCTCGTGTTGGCGAAACTCGCGTCACTTCCGTGGGACAGGGCACGGATGCAACACACCGTTAAATATCGCGCGGCGAACGTGTGCCTCGTAAAATGTTTTAAGAAAGCGGTGCGAGCGCGCGCGCGCCCGCGCGCGGTTCGCATAATTGCAGACCGTGGCCGAGAACGGATGCGCTTATTAGCTGAAAGCGGTAGGAAATCACAGTTTCATTTTTTCGCGCCGAGGTTCCGCGCGGTTCGTTTCCCGAAGGTGCACACGCCCGATGGAAACCGAAGGAGGAGAAGAAGAAGAAGAAGAAGAAAAGGAAGGGAAGAAGGGACCGTGGCGAGAGAGAGGATGTGGTTAACCCACGGTCAAATCGAGCTTTTGCCGGGCTTCTGCATCCTGAAACGGGCGACAAAAGAGAATCGCCGGAACAAAAGTGCGCGCGCTATACTGCCCCCGCATCCTGTTCCCTCTCGATCCTCTTCTACTCGGTCATCGAGCTTGCTCCGCTCCGGTCTCTCGTGGATCGAAAAATCGAAAGGGATTCGCCTGTCCGGCTACGCGCATGCACGCATGCTCACGCTTCTTTACTCGCGTTAGAACCGGTGGAACGGTTTATGATACATAGCATCGGCATGGTACACCGTTCGACTGAAATTACAGCTTATCGATCGATAAAAGGAAGAAAATAAAGCAGCAAGGAAATGGGATGGCGTCGGGCCAAGATCAATCGATTATCGTCCCGCTATCTTAGAACCGACAATGTACGCCGGTCCCTGCCGGTCTTACCGGGAATCCAAGCGGCGTCTACTTAATATTAATAACGCGTCCCCTGGAAACACAGGGCACGAGAGAAGCGGAAAGCAATTAACCGGTGGGCATTTAATAAAATGCAAATAACCGGTCGGCGATCGATTATCGCGGATAGCGGTAAATAAAGTTATTTTGGCGAAATCGCGAATCGCGAGCGGATCGAACAGCGTCGCCAGTGTTCCGGTTGCGTTACGATCGCGAAGATCTGGGAGGGGGGCAGGCGGTGGAAAGAAAAAAGGTGGCCGAGGAGAAGGTAGGACAGCGAGGGGTTGGAAAGAGCGAGAGGGAAGAGCGACGAGGGAGGGAGGGAGAGAGAAGCGGAGGGACGAAAAAAGGGAAAAAAAGGTGGATCGAGGTGAGTAACAGCGTATAATGTGTCCAAAAGGCACCTGCCTCTTTCGAGCTTACTATCTTCCCATCGAATGGTCTCGAGAAAAGGAGCTAGACTCGAGTTAGCCGATGTTATCTCGTTCCGAGACCAGCGAACCACTTATATCGTTAATTGCTCCCACTTCCGGCCTCCCTCCTCCCTCTCTGTTTCTCCACCTTCCGCCTCGTGTTCTCCCTCGGCGTCTATCTCGCTCGCACCGGCTTTATCTGTCGGCCGATGCGTGTGCTATGGCGAGCGCGAACGCGCGCGCGCGCCCGCTAAGAGCACGCATTATGCCCCCAGTTAAACTTCGGAAAGGCGAGCACGGAAGCTTATGCCCTTTTAAGCGGTCTCGTGTAAAGTGGATGTTCAACCGGCCTCGGACACAACGTACTTAATCGCCGCGCTCGAAATTATTTATGGCGATCGCGTTTCACGGGGAAATCGTTGTAATTGGAAAGTCGTGGGAGGGAAATGGCGCAACTTTGTTACA